CACTCATGTTTCTAGGCCATTTTCCATACAGTTAAGGGCAAAAAGCGAGTCGTCGACAGTGCGATATTTAAAAATACACCTTCAAAGAACGTCATTAAGTTGTTAAAGATCCATTTCCTAAACATGTTTCCGGCGAAGAAGCGGCTTTGCGGTCGGGGTGCCAAAACCCGTCAAGATTAACTACACTTGACGAAAAAACCAGTCGGCATCTGCTGAAATTAACTCGTGCTTCGCTACTTTAAATAGCTTTGTTTGGGCGAGGATCCTTCCAAATCCATGGATCACGGATCCGGAATGTATTGCCGGGAAGTCGCATGACACCGCACAAAACGACTGCAACTGCAACCTCTTGGCTGTCTAATGATGGAAAATTCAACTAATTCAACTAATTCAACTGCACAACATCTGTCTGACTGTGGTTTGAAGCTCTCAAGACTGTTTCAACTGGAAACTTGATCAGAATCAAGCAGAAACTGGATAGTGATGATGAAACGTAAAACACAGTACACAATTATAGCATATCATTTACCAAATTCTAAGCCCCCTAATCTCGACAGTCACTTTATTTACAAAGTGATGGTAAAGGCAGATGGTGTCTTTGGAACCATCTCGGGTGCATTAACGTGTCACCAAAGGGCGAATGATGTTAAAAGTTGAGACCGTATTGAGTTCCAAGAAGACGGTTTGGGCCTCCACGCTGTAGGGATTAAGGAAACATCTGTTGTTTTTTGGTTGGATCGTCGATATACATGGCGAGCAGTTTTATTGAATAAATCAGGCCTCGGAAGTTTTAATTTTCTCTTTTCGCTGCCATTTGCATACCAACAATTGATTTATCGACGTCTTGCACGGGCATACATTATCTTTGAGTTGGAAACGAGCTGTTTGTTTTGGCGGAACAGCGATAATTTATCTTTGCACCCATAAAAGTGCCCGTTAGATTCCATATCAAGAAAGGTGTGCCGTGTAAAAGAGCGTAAATAACGACGTCACTTTTAAAGACAATTTTATGCGCCCCGTTAGAGATTAGTATCAATTTGTATGCACTTATTCGGTCACAGCCCGAATAAGGATGTGCACAAATCGGTTTTTATTTGTTTTGCATGTTTCGTCGTTCGGTTTGGTGTCGTCGTGCAAATATTCTGGGTGTCGCACAACATTTTCCGAAAATAAGTCTCTTAAGTCAATCAAATGTTCTGGATTCAGTTTTTCCAAAAAAAACTTTAAATCTCCCTAGCCAATTGTAATTAAAGTTCCCAACAACAGGAAACAAGTTCTTAAGTTCTAAATTGTTGAGGCCGATTCATTTTTTTACAAACTTCTTTTTGGGTACTTCGCCTCAAATTTTTTTTGTCTTTAAAAAAGACAGAATTTCCTCACGTCTTTTATTACAGATTGATAAATAGTGCTCCTATTTCGCAATAAGAACGAATTAT